TGTAGTCGGTATCATCAGTCAGTTTTGCCATTCGCCGCACAAAGCTACGAACTCGTCAAAGACAAAGAGACTTATCTCTTTGAGGAGTGCGGCAAATGGCAAAACTTACTGATGATGCCGACTACGATGCCGCCCAAACGTTTGAGAATGTACCAAGTCCACTGTCTGATGCTGGGAATCATGACAACTATTATGGCAGACGACTTCGGACTAGGTGCGTTCTACATAGTCGCCCTGACAACAAGACCAATTTGCGACAACGAGGTCAACCCATTTCTATTAATCTAGCATGTTTGGCGAATTTGAGTGAAGTTAGAATCATCATTTAGCGTACAAGTTGAGTCTCCTCCTTTTGGATGGCGACTTAACACCCTCTTTCCTTCCATCTATCCATAAAGCATAAGTAGCTCCTTCTCCAGTCTCTATCACCGCTCGTCCCATCCGCCCTGTGATACCCACTGCCTACGTCAGCTATTGGCAAAGTGTTAACCTGTCGTCATTTTATGTGCTCAAATCAGGTTCGAGTCCAGTTTTGCAGGATTTGTGGGAACAATGCGAGGTTGAAAGTGCAATCTAGCCAAACCATAAAGTCCGTTTAAATGTAGTTGAGTGATAAATTCGTCGGCATTATAAGGTCTAATCGGTTCATTGCGACAAAGGTCACATATCATCCCTCATCATTTTGGGCGACCCAAATCATTTAAGCTCTTATTCATGATCCCAATCTTGCACGTTGTGATGCAGTTGCAGAAAACAACCTTGTTTCTCAGACTTCGACTCCATGCTCTCATCTAAGACGAATAGCTTTAACAGGATTTGTATGATGCCTTGTCATCAGCTGTCTTCCGGAAGGCCATATGTGTCTAGCTATTCACTGTTCAATGAGGGAATCTGATTCACAATGTTGTCTGTGAGGTTGGTTTTCAAAGAGTTCCGGTGTCTTTTGCTTTCCATTCCTTTAATTCACCAGTTTACTGACATTTTACGCATGGCATATATGAGAGTAAAATGTTAAAAAAGCTCGCATGTCAAAGAAGCAAGATCCCGTTTTTGCATTATTGTGTGCTTCTGTGGTGGGACTTATGTTGAGGAGACCTGTCGGCCGAACGGCCAAAGATTAACGAAACACAAAAATGCTTGTCGAGCGGCCAGAAGTGGTTGAGCGCAAGGTGAAGACTGGACATGAGATAGAATGTTCTCAGATGCAGAAATTTGTTGATTTTGGTACTAAACGCAAGAAGAGAGAGGTTTTTAGAAATTGATAAACTAGAGAATATGTTGAATGTGAGAAATGGTGGCAGAAAGTTGGGTAAGGATTACTTACGCTTTATTGAATGGTTGAAAGAGAGAGAAGGTGTTGAGCCGCCGTCCAAAAGAAGATGACTCTACCTGTTAATTGAGTGATGGTTCTAACCCAATTCACACTTGTTCACCAGTTCTGTCGAGTTTGTTAACCAAAACAGACGTGCGGGATTACGCAATCCCAGCCATGTTCTTCCTTTGGCCATTAAGCCTTGATGACCCGAGGCTGACGTTAAACTTTCTTTTAATTACTTTGAGTTATGACCAGTTTTGCGTACAGACGCTAACTCAATTCTTTCTATATCCATCCATAGCTTACATTTTTCTCACAATGAGCATATCTATCATATAAGAAAAGCCGGACAGTCTTCTTGACTAGGTGCTTACTCGAGGCTTTCGCGAGAATGAGTAACAGCTCTGAGGATGTTCGTCACATAAAAAATGAAATCTCACTCCGTCTTCTCCCAAGAGTTGTAGGATGTCTTGTGGACTACATCATCCTGGACGTCGTATTGAAGCCAAACAGCCTCGGTACCAAGCGAACCAGCCTGATTCTTCTGGTCGGATTGACCTACGAATCTCTTTATCACGAACTTTCATATATAATTCGAATTTTCACAACAATAAAATTTCAAAAGTCAGCATAAAAATATCAAATATGCGATATGTGTTGACCCCGTTTCCTTCTAAGGTGATGAAGGAGTAGTAGCTGGATTTTCCCACAATCGAATGAGTAGACCTTGCGTCTCTATAGAATTTCACATTGCATTGCTCCTTAAAGCTATGTGAAATTGAGTGAAAACACAAGATCTACTCATATGATTTTTGGAAAATCCGACTACCAGTCCTTCATCACCTTAAAACAAAATAGGATCAACATATCTCACATATCTGATCTACTGGTAGTTTCGAATAACCTATTTTAAACGAAAAATAAAGATATCATTTATCTTAAAATATAAATTCTTGAGACGCCCTAAGCCTCCCCACTCTTGTTAGGGGGACCTTCATTTCGAATGAAAGTACATGAAGAAGATATTCGTTTGTCGATCTCACCAGATG